GGTTCACCACGCGTATGTGGCACATTCTAATTGCGATCTCCCGGTCCGCCAACAAACGGTAGTTCGTTGCTTTATTGTAAAGGCGACCACATTATGCGAAACGTGAATCACGCGAGTAACAGTATTCAAAGCCACAGTCTATACGGTTGAGAACCATGGGGTCTCGGAGCAAGAAGCTCGTGTCTTTGGGAAACAGAATCGATAGAGAAAACGACTCTGAGAGCCGTGCGATCACTAAGGATGCGGAAAATTTCCTAATCCATTTTTTCTCCGAGTCATACGTGTTCCCTCGTTATCTCGCCGCCTTTCCTTTCTTCGCCTAACGACTCTTTTCTTATCCCGTCGCTTTTTCTGCTGCTTCTTCTCCTCCGAGGAGACCATGATGCGCGATTAGGCGCGTTAGGCACGGAATATTCGTGTCACGTGTTAATCTCGCAGTGGTAATCGCGGAACCTTTCCTCAGAGCTCGATTAGCATTTCGATGGTGACCGTGCATTAACCCGTGAACTTCGCTGCACGAGGAAAACGTGAAAGTAACCAAGGTAACGAACAAGTCGGAAAGTTGTACGCCATGTTGTAAAATTTTCTTTGTTTCTCCTTTTCCCGGCGTTTTCGCGTCGTTTTGTAATTAGAATGATCGAAAGCTACGAGTGAAGAGTTATCCTTCCCGATGTTTATGGTTTTCGAAGATATTCTGCGCGCGAGAGTGGGATTCCTTTTAATGAAAGAGGTCTGACAGGTAGATACGCACCTGCAGCACTCATTCACACACGCAACCATCGTGAACGTACGTCGCGCGTTCACACGCGTGTAATATTTACCACGGGTAGCGTATCGTAGTAACCACCTGCTAGGGTCACGCACACCGATTCATTCTGGCTGCATTCATCGATATCCGTACACTTATGGCGTACACAGAGAAGATTAAATTCGTCATCAACGTAAACGCGTTATTTACGTATGAATCGTGATCTGGTCGTTGATACGATAATGATATTCGATGATAATAAATATCGAACAAATGGATAGAAATATATAAAAAAAAAAAAAAAAAAATGGAATATTCTGGAAAATTAAAGGAACGTTTAAATTACCTCTGCCTGGCGGCAGAATCCATTAAACCCTTCCGTTTACTCCAATGTATTTCCGATATTCACACATAAATTCTATTAAAATATTCTACGTTATTAAATATAATATCCACACTCCCTCTGTAATACGCGTTTTTCTTTCACGTTCGATACCGCGATATTCACCTGCCTCGTGTATACATCAATACCTAAGGAACAATAATATACTTCTAACCCATTTCGTTAAAAAATTTGGTCCCTCCTACTATCTTTCAACTTGGAGAAAACAAAGGAAACAACGAGGAATGTAATTCGCTATTCCCAAGCAGCTTCATTAAAGGTATTACCTATAAAACTTGCAGATATCGGGTAATAACATTTTTATAGGTAATAATGTAATTTTTCGTTGCTATTACAAGAGCTTACATTGTTACTTTGTTCCCATATTTAAACTCTTACGAGTAGTAATTTAATCTTTCCATTTAATTCGTACACCTCCAACGGCTTCACGGTTCCCTTCTCACCGATCTCGGGACCCCGAGCTCTCAACCGGTAACGTAACAACCAAGGTGGAAATCATCGTATTCAGAAGTAGCTCTCTTCTTCGCCTCTCTCGGTTAACCAAGGCTCTTTATGAAAGGAACACAATCAAACGCAACATCGACCGAACTCTTCGCGATCGCGTGTACATCGTGTTCAACCGTATACCTGTGAAACCGTGTCGTTGTGCTTGCACACACAGACGTGACAAGCGTAAGCGTTCGCGGGACTTTCCTCGGACAACAGGTAGACCTCGTACTCGGTAGGCGGAAAGCCCACGACTCGTGGGATTGGGCAACCGCGATGCACCTTGGTAATCGTGCTTAAGTGTGGAACGAATATCGACCAGAGAGTGGAAGGAAAAAATGGAAAAAAGAGCCGCGAGAGAACAACGAACCGTGAAAAGCGATCGGTCGATCGCACCATCGAATACGTATTTGAGCAACCTGCTCGTTGGATTCGCGGCCGAAGAAACGGGAGGTTATCGACACCTGCTTTATTCCTCTTGCAGCTACAATGTATATCCGATACAATGGGATACCGGTTATCTAGGCGGTGACTGGTCGATCATTACGTAAACCCCTCGGTTGTCACTCCTATATCTCGGATGATGAAGGATTTTTATATCAACCCTTTGCACTGAGCGATTTTTTCGTTACGTAAAGTAGAAATTTTGTTCCAATATTCTACGTGTCTTTACATTATTTTTAACTCGATATCGACTACAAATGATTATTATGGTAATTTTTGGATAACAAAAATCGGATTTTTCAGGAAAAGCGATAAAAAAGAAATAAAAATCTTAAAGAGGAATTAATTGTGTGTACATCAAAAGAAGGATCACACAGTCAAGGGACCAAAGCGATAATATCGAATGTGGTAGGATTGGTGTTAAGTAATAAACGATTAAATAAAATACAGGATGTAATATTTTTTCAAATTATTCCCTCGGGTGATCCACTGGCAGAAATGCGAAGATTACTATGCATAAATCACCGTGGAATTGTTTGAACGAGTTCCCTACTCTAATTTTGCTCCGTATGAAACTACACGCTGAATCATTTTGCGAAATTGCCAGGTACCGTATCAGTCGGAAGGGTTATTTAATTGATATCGCAATGACTTGCGAGAAATTATCTCGTTCCAAAGATGGAGTGGGTGTCTAATGACGAGGCATCGCGATCTTCCTTATTGGTAAAAGGGTTAATTCGCGTGTTCGTTTGTCGTCCGTGTTTCGAAAGGCTGAATTAAGATCTCGTTATACGAGTCCAATAAACTTTGCACGTAACGCGTGTGGAACAAAGAACCGCGGATAATTTGCATTTAGCGAAAGATTACGCAACGTTTAGGTGACCGCTTGGTGGCATTGAGCGACGCTTCAAAGTTTCACGGAACACAGGGAAATAACGGATACGTGGAGAATCGTAATGAGAATTACAGCGCATTCTGCTTTGTTGTTTCGAGAAACAAAACTGCGCAAGGACAATACTAACGCCGTTCTTGTTCCCTTCTGGCTTCCGGATATCGCGGAGGAAATAATTTCAGCTCTCCTACGGGAAAAGGATTTACACGGTGCTGAGCAACTGAGAAATTGTCTGCGTCGTTAATTTACAAATGGCAGTCTTTAAAAATTTTCCCTTTCAAGAAGAAATGCGTCGCAGCATTTTAGAAAAATATTTCTTTCGAGTTATTCCTTTTAAACATTGCACGGTGGATTATCGTGGGTTCCTGATTCAGTGTTCTTGGTGAAAATCGGAATAGTATGGTATTTCAGAGCATTCCATTGAATTGTAAAAACATGCCAATGTTATTCGAGTGAAATATCATGCACTATTAATTACCGATAAATTGGTTAGTATCCGCCAGCACTCTAATTACGCGAGCTATGCATTTTTTACTGCCACAAGCGAACCTTACAGCCCAAAGCTACTAGACCTATAGAGTAACTGTATAGGCAGTTATCCAGGATGTCTCGTCTACATATACAGATGATTAACCCGCTAATATCGAGTGGCATAATGCAGTAAACGTGCTACTTTATCAGTATGCTCGAACATTCCGCCGGGTCTAGCAGGAAAAACTCGAAAGGAGGATAAAGGAGTCAATGGCGGGCAACCTGTAGCTGTTATCTAAGAGGAAACAGGTCGAAGGGAGGTGGATGATGAGAGATACGATGCGCAGCAGCTGTAAAAACTACCTGCTGGAATTAATTGACTCGATATACGGGAAGTCGTGCTCTGAATTGGGTCGAACTCGGCTCTTATGGAAGAGAAGAAAACAAAACGTCGTCTCAACTTCAGGAATTCGCCGTGAATGTGGACCAATAAAAAGTATTATCATTGATATGGAAGTGGATCGACGTAAATACATTATTTCAAAAAACCGAGGAGGATAGGAGGCACCTAGAAACCTACGTACTACTTTCTATCGGGTAAAGTAAACATTAAGTAACCGACCAAGACTTTTAATTCGCGTACAAAGACAGGCTATACCATAGCTATTATAACGTGTCCTTGTAACACTTTAATAAGAGGCATAGCATTTCGATTTAAATATCGTGAAAATGCGCGTTTCTTCGTGAGCTTTACGTTGTAAAAACTTTCGCTATCTATAATGCTCTCCGATACACCCTTTTACGCGATATCATCGAGTCGCTATTAAGAGTCGCGTTGCATGCAATTTCCACGGAAATTATGTAACAGGAACCACAGGGACAACCGCATTAGTTTGCGCAACGCTAACAACTCGCGTTTTACTTCGTTATATTTAAACGACTGATTTAGTTTCACTCTAACTACTACGGTTGGCACGTGCTGTTAAAAGTACATCGTCTGATTTATCCCTCGCGAACAGGGAGATTTAGCAAGTTTAATATGATAACCATCAGCTTTCGTTTACACTGAGAATAACTCACTGTTACGATATTGTTGTTCCAAGCAATAAACATTTCCGAATGTTTATTTTATAAAACTTAAAATAGTTGGCGATGTAGTTTCCGAAGGACAACCTTGTTATGCTTCGAATATATATAACGTTCGATTAAAATATTTGCGAACGTTAATTTACTTCGTATAAAGTAAGGTTATGTAATTGGTAAGACTAACCTACTGAAAGTTGACGTACCTCTCCCATGTAATTTTCCTCGCTATAAACTTCTCGAACTTCTGCTCGATCTTTAACGCGCACTATTTACATTTACACTTGACATGGACAATGAAATAAATCAATAAACGATCGATATCGCAACCGTGAACTCGAGAGCCGGCGATTTGACCGCGAGAATGTCGTGGGCATGCGCAATCGATAGGTAATGGACTGCGCGCATCATCACGCGGTGAATCGAGGAAATACGCGCGTCCCAATCAAAAGAATTTCAAAAGCATGACTCACCGTCAGGATTGGTGAAATATCCCCAAGTGGGGGTCGCGGTGGTCGCCGATTGGAGGACCACGGCCAGAATACTGAGGGCTAGAGCACCGGCGGCGCCTCGCGCCGCGACGGCGCGTTTTTCGCTTCGTTGCGGATCGGTTGTCGTTGTGGCGACCGCCCTTACACCTTGACGGTTGCTCGAATCGGTTGCCATTCTTCATGCCGTTTTCGTGTCTTCGTTGATCTCGTGTACCACGCAACAATCCAAAATAAACGCTTCCTTTCCTTATTTTTTTCTCTTTTTCCTTATTTATTAATCGTGTTCCTTCTGTTCACTTTCTCTTCTTCGTCAACACCGGCTTTACACACCGCTTCATAAAATCGATTCGAGAAACTGTAACGGTTTGCCGGTGTCTATATACATGTACCAAGGCTGACTAATTACATCGGCGACGAACATCTCGTCGTCGACGCACTCGATAATCGAATATCATACACTCCCGGTACGATGTCACGTAACACGTCGAGTATGGATAGGCGCGTGCATGCACGCAATCGATAGTCGGAGGTGGGAGAAGAAAGAAGAGAAGTAGGGAGAGGTGTGTATCGGCTTAGGCGAATTCCACGTTCCGTGTCACTCTTTCTTTCTTTCTCGGACAACAGAGAAAGAAGCATACTCCACCTTTATATCGCGTGTCTCTCCCTCTCGCTTCCTCCCTTTTCAGCTAAAACCCTTCTCGCGTATATACGCACCTTACCTCGTGGCTCAGCCCGAGCAGAGACTCGGAAACCGGTTTTTGCGATGCGCGAACCGGCGTTGGCTAAAAATAAAAGCGCCTCGGATTCTCTCTCCTTCGCTGCTTCATTCGCCTCTCGTAATTTTCTGTCTCCTCGTACGTTACCGTGGAAGAAATCTTCCGGGGGACACCGTGAACGTCGCACGCGCGCTCGCACCAGATATATCGAACGTTCGATCACAACCTATCGAATCGCGCGCTGTCGTCGATCAACAATCACCACCTGTCATCGCTATTTGTCGACAGATCAAGATGGCGCACGAGGAAAATTACTTCCTGAATAACTCGAAGTTTTTCATTCTTTCCTCCCGGATGCTTTCACGCTGTCTTCGATTGTGGAATGTTACTTGCTCGCACGCATCCTTGCGTCAAACCAGTCGAAATTATTGGACAACTTCTTTGATCGAGGTTATGAAGGTACGAAGCTCGAAAGAACGGGTAGCCCGCTAGGTTAGGTTCATGCGCGCTGGAAATACGAACCGCTTGATATTTACCGAGGTGCTATAGTTATCGATCGTACGAGGATACACTCGCTTCATTTCGTGCCACGTCTCCTTCTACGCGTTTCGTAACAGTTCTGCCACTCACTGCGTCTTGCCAGTTCTTATTCTCCGCATCGAGTCTCCTCTAGTCAACAACCATATTCCTTCTCTCTCCTCGATGTGTCAAACGGTTTCAAAATACGTCGTGTACATCGAAGTTTCCCGCTCTTTCGTGGCGCCTTTCTCTGCGAGTCACACTCTCCTTCGCCACGAACCTTACGCACCGTGTCACTGTGTCACGACGTACGGGCTCGTACATGCACGCACACGCGTCGATAACAGGTTCTCGATTAAATTCGAACCACCGGCATACGGTCGCGTGTATACAGCGAACGTTACGCACGATGTGTATACGAGATTCGAAGGAACCTGAATTTTGTCGGATTTTCCTGCTGCGCGTGACCAACAGAAGGACAAAAAAACTTAACGGAACGACCACACGTAAACGCGAAAACAGCGATCCGCGAGATGTTTGTACTTGCGTATTCTAGCCGCGCTGCATGTAGGAGACAGCGGGAGAGAGAGAGAGAGGGGAAACAAGGAAAAAGAGGAGAGCAAGAGAGACGAAAACAGAGAGAAACAATACGCGTACGCGAGCCTGCGCGCTGCGCGGCATACTGAGGCGACCGGCACCGTCAAGCTGACTCGAATGCTCCTCACCGGCCGTGGCTTCTCCCTTCCTCTCTCTCGCACCATTGGCCCCGGCCACTACCCAACGCTTTCCCCTCTCTCTTTCTCTACTCTCCGTCCCTTTCTTTCCTTCTTCCTCCCTCTACACTCACATTTGCATTGCTGTCGTATGCTTTCATACCGCTGCCGTATATGTCCGTTACAATTGCATTCTTGGAATGAAATGCACTTGAAATATTCATCCTTTTTTCACCACCAACTCGAATGTTCCTTTGAAAGAATAAATTAGTCGATAATTCACGGTTCTTCGACGACACGATAAGTGGGATATTTATACCGATTTACTTGCCGATGATCGATTATTAACAGGTCCACGGCTGACGTTTTTGTATCAAAAAATATGAACGCCACTCGAGACGATATAATTTATTAAATTTCGTCGTTAATGACTCGGTTGATTTTATCGATGACTGAACGAATTAATATAAGGAAATAAATTACTCGTATTCTAAGATTTCACTTGTCTCACTTGTTTCAGAGACACGGCACATATTTTGTCTTATGCGACGTGATAAAGGTTAGGAATTGAACTTGAAACATTGAACTGAAGAATGGAGGCATATTCCGGACTTTGAAGTCTCGATGTTACGATATTTATATTATGCCTGCAGGTGACGCAATGCATTTTCTTGATGGTAGGTTTCAGTGTTTTAGAGAATAAAGGCTCGACGTCGGGAATTTATGTTATCTTTCACGGATGAAAAGAAGATGTATGCAACAAAAACTCGAGGACGTCGCTATCTACGCGACAAGCCAGTAAAGTTGTCATCACCGGTAAATCACTTTACATACTGTTCACTCGAGATAAAAGGTAATTCAAGTTGCCGTACGGTATGTGGAATTTTGTCCACAAATTTTTCTATTTTTTAATTAACGCGTTAAAAATTCGCAAACATTATTCGAAAGAATTTGTTTATTTTGTGTTGTATTTAATTTACGTTCATACGATAAACACGTCGACATTCTTCATTAATGTTAACGCACACATTTCTTTCGCAGCACATGGATCACTTCTTGCTTTTTTATTGAGACAGCTGACTGATTCAAAATAAAGAACTTGTTATTGAAATACCAATGAATGATATAAATTTAAACTGCGAAGTGGATACAAACTTATTTTCTTCTTGTCTTCTTGGGTAAAGTAAAACCGAAAAATGATGTGCTTATTCCAAGAATTATTATATTTATCGCAAATTGGCGAAGAACTGGTTGCTGAAAGATACCTTGTACATCGTCGCATGAACACTGGCAAATATAAAGATGATATGACGTAGGACTGTATAATCACGGAAGTGTAACGATATCCTATATGTTTTACACACAATAAAAAGGAAACGCATTGCTGTGCGTATGTAATGCGAACTGTTATAGGAAGTTAATGTGAACAAAATACGCGGTGGCATCGTTATTAAATATCAGGGCCATTAGTCGGCCATCACCTTAAACGATTCTGACTTAATGCGTCAAGCATAATCTCGATCCTCTTTCTCTCCCAGTATGCATTCCAAGGAATTTCCGTTCGACTTTAAATGTAATTAAAATTATCATATAATATAACAGAAAAGCAATCCGGTTCGTATAATGAATAATCTATTAATGTAAAACTTGTTAATTTTCCTATTTTTACTATTAAGTAGGTAAATTACACGTATGATACCCAATTTAAAACGATCTCTCGATCGCATATTTACATTGTTCCATAATATTCCAATATAAGGCATTTTAGTTATTATTTTCATGTTTACAAAACGTTGATTAGTAATTATGTAAAATTTACAGATTATACGATAAACGATAAGGTAAACGTGTAACGACAACACGGAATACGCGATGTGTTGCAAATAAATTAATTAATGCTGTCTGATAAATAACCCGCGTAACGCAATTCGCTTACACGGATTATCCATCGTGTACTCGCAACAAATTAACTAATAATAACGTCCATTCATCGCCGCGACGAAGGCGTGGTGGAATGCGGCATCGTATTCCCCCTGAAATTATGGTTCCCCTGGCAACAACGATGTTTCAGGGTAATAAACTCGCAACCCTGAGGATGCATTACACAAAACACGTTATTTCACTACCGATCAATTCCGGATATGATTCGCAAAAATAGGTGATCGTTCATCGCTGTAAACTCTCTTCCTTACGCACTGAGGTAGAACGTGTAGAGCCTTTCGAGTCTTCCCCGAGGCTTAAAAATCGACGAAATACGGATATTGAATTAATAATACTCGTAACATCCACTTAAGAGTGCAATAACTCAGTTTACTATCTATCGATAATGTTTCAAGTCGATTTTATTTAATCAAATAAACTTTCCGTCCTTTTTGTAGTCGGAATTCAACTGATACATTCATGGTCGATGCAACTTGAGTATCATATTTCTACACAATTTAGGCGAATGAATCAAATATCGGTAGTGGAAGGAACGCTATATGTTCAATATAGTAATGTCTTTACTCAGTGAACCTGATAAGATTATATAGTTCATTGAAGCTTTTAAGATATTAAATATTTAGCTTAAGACATTAATATTCTCTTTGAAATTCATATTGGTCGCGAGTATATTCTTACGATGTCATCAATAGTAACTCATATGTCTTTTTCCAGATTCATCGAGTCTACGGAGTCAAAGAAATTCTTTAAAAGGAAGTTAACTGAACTAAATATGAAACATTCTTGGAACGTTTAACAATGATACTTTTTTATCGTTGTCATTAATAGCAACGAAACACCGGTAATAAATTACAGCAAAGATTCGTTAATGTCTATAAAATGCAAAGAGACTCGCTTTAACGCAATTGATACCTTATTTGTTCACAGGATGCATCCTAACTTTCCCCTTTTCGTAAGACTATGGAAGTTTCGACTATCTCCGCGTTTTCACATTCACTCGGCTCGTGGATGAAGACGAGCTGTACAACTTTTGTGGTCTCGTCAGGTATTCAAAGACAGGAACTTCTACTTAACTTCTTGGTCGACTTTCTTCTTCATGCGTCCCGACGGCATAGAAAGTTCCGCGTAAAAGCTACGATTCGTCGCAAATAACTGTTTGCTATCATAAAGATCATCTATGCTCTCTCTACCGTGGTACCTATGTATCAGACAGAATTGATTTCAAACCTCTTTCCTCGAGCATGACTTACCTCAATTCAATAACACCTTTCCAATTGAATAAAACG